TTTATTTCGATATACCAACATACGCTAACTTTTATTTTGAGCAAAAAATACTGTTAAATTGGTGGTCATGTAAATGTTTATAATATGTCATATGAATCTACTTATGTCGTATTTTAATATAATTTTTAAATTGACTTAAAGGCAAAAGAGATATATCCCCTAAACTTAGAATAATAAAGATAGTTTGTCATGCATAAAAATCCTTATAAAGTTCATCCACCCTAGTTAAAATTCAAATCGCGTTCATCATTTCTTATCATGCATTTAACATCTTCACTTTTTGCATCTAACATTCTAAATATTTTATTTCTACACAATTTCTCATCTTTTTCTTTTCTTTTTTTCGTTTTACATTTTTGACACTATTATAAAATTTATTTTTCCTTTATTTGTATATAATCCTACAACATACAAAAATAAAATATTTTTTTCATTTTTAATTTAAAATACATTTTTTAATTATTTTTTATATTTTATCTTTTGTCGATTAATGTAGACATCTACAGTAACATAGTCACTATCCTCAATTGTAGGCATTTAAAACTTGAATTTCACTTCACTGTAGGCCCTATATTTGTACATGTATAGTACGTATATATGTAATATAATATGGTGTACTTAGGGTCTGCCCGGGGTGGGGCGAGCAGGGCCCACGCCCAAGACCCAAATTTTTAAGGAGCCCATATTTTTCATTTTTTTGATATATATACTTATATTTTTTTTTAGGGTAAATTCCACTTTACCCCCTTGTACTCTGGCCAAGAACCACTTTACCCCCTCGTACTCTTAATTTCGTCGATTTACCCCCTTGTACTTGTACAATTTTCCAATACAACCCTCTTCGTTAACTTTTTTCGATTTTGACTCTGACGCCATTTGGTCAAGAGTCAAAATATTGACGTAAATATTGAATTTTTTCGATTTTGACTCCCGAGATTAGAAAAGAGAAAGTTTCACACATTCATATAGTTTTTTCGTTGCACTGGGTGGAATCGATCAATTTTTGGGTCTTAATTTTTACTAAGTTAGGGGTTCAATTTGGGGATATCTTGGAAGGGGAAGTGGTGCCATAAGAAGAAATGACAATATTAACGAAGGAGAAACGACGCGTTATAGACAGTGGCAATTTTGTAATTTACAGAGTTGACCAAATGATGTTAGAGTCAAAATTGACAAAAATTGAAAGAAAGGGCTGTATTGGGAAATTGTACAAGTACAAGGGGGTAAATCGATAAAATTGAGAGTACGAGGGGGTAAAATGACTCTCAGGCAGAGTACGAGGGGGTAAAGTGGAATTTACCCTTTTTTTTATGTGTAGAAAAAGTTATTTTTCTATTTTTATAAAATTATTCTTCTAATGTCTTAAAAAATACCTTTCTATTAATTTTTTTTAAGCTTAGCTTAAAATATACAATTTAAAATCTTTATTTTATCCAAATAAAAATTATTGTATACTTCTCTGACATTTGATTTATAAAAGTATGTTTAAATATATATTAATATTTTCAATCTTTTTTATTGATAATGAAGTTTATATTAATAAATATTCATTTATATTATGTTAGTAAACATACTATTCAGAAGAAGAAAAATCGGGGTGTTGCCCCGAAACTCTATATTATTAAGGGAACACTTTATAGTCTTGCCCCGGGCTCCCAAATACGCCGGATTGGTCTTGATGTACTATGATGTATTATGACTTACTATGGTATTAGTATTAGTATTAATATTAGTATTAGTATTAGTATTAGTATTAGTATTAGTATTAATATTAGTATTAGTATTAGTGTTATTATTAGTATTAATATCAGTATTAATATTAATGTTAGTGTTAGTGTTAGTATTAACATTAGTATTAGTATTGATATTAGTCTTCGTATTAATATTAAATGTAGCATATATAAGAATATATGACAATGTCGAGAGCTAAGAATAGATGTGGCATAAATATACTCATCATGTCACATCAGGAGAGAAATGTTACAAGCAATTTTGTCTAAAGGAATTTCCTCAACGAACATGAAAGTACATCGCAATAATTGTTTATTGTGATTCACTAACACATTTGTGTTTTTAAAATTATTTATATGTATTATTAATTTACAGTGTTAGGTTTGTTTGCACTTAATGTTAATTTTATTGTCAACTCAATGAAGTTCTTTTTAATAAAGGTAATTTAATATAAATTATATTTATTTTTTACACTTTAAGGTGATTTATGTTTCAGTAATCTGTATCACTCGTTGCATATATGAATTATGAAAAATATGCAGGTTACTCACAAGGTATCAGTATTTGAGTTATAGGAAATGTCAATGCATGTGCTATAAAACATTATTTTGATAATTGTGTTTCATATTAGCAATCCCAGTACATTGGACGAGATAGTTACACCATTTGATTCAGATGATGTATGTTAGTTTTTATATCACAATTTTTCGTATTTATATTTTAACATGTATTTTGTTCAATTTTGTACTTAAATCAAATGGAATGATATTTTTCTTTTAACTTTTTTGTTTATATCGTATTATATGTCAATTATTATAAGTTTTTGTTCGATTATTTTATTTAAAATATATATATATATATATTTTTAAATTTTCCTTGTGCATCGTACGAGAGAAATACTAGTGTATATAAGAACTAGATCAATGTATACAAAGTTTTATAATTTTATTTCAGCTTCAGCCAAAAAGTATATTCGAAATCATTAATAGAAAAACTCATCTTTTCAACTGCACGCAACGCACCAAAAATGCTATTTACTTCCTAAGTTCTCACCTACTATTGATGTTACATTACATGTCTTGAGAAAAAAAAAAAAAAAACAATCAATTCAATCTCAATATTATCAAAATCATGCGAAGTGAATTATGTTTGAAGTTTGACCATATATAGCAAACCACAAAAGAATATGTAAATTGTATAAGGAAAAATACAATTATAATCTCTCAAATTTGCATTAATTTCATATTTCGTCCTCCATGTTTACAAAAAACACATTCGGTTCCTTATGTTTCAAAAATTCAACATCTTTAGTCATTTTCGTCAATTTTTTATTAGATTTAACGAAATCAAGTGTGTGTCCATGAGTGCCTTAAATGGCAAACTAACGGTAAATTTTTGTTAATGTATTGAAACATGAGGGACCAAATGTACTTTTTGTGAATATGGGGACCAAATGTGAAATAAGAGAAAACTTGAGGGATGAAAATGTTAATTTTCCGAAAATTGTATGTATAAACCACATGCATTAAGTAAATTAAAAATTACATCATTGAGGAGCTATAAAATAAAAATGAATGCTAATAGCTTGGCCCGCAATGGATGTTCTTGTTGGTGGAGCAGAAAAATGTGATGTCAATTGACCAGAATTCGAATTTTCTAGTCAACACTTTCTTAAAAAGCAAAACAAATTGTAATAGTATTTTCATATTACTAGAACCCGATGAATACGATCATAATTAAAGTAAGAACCAACTCGAATCCTATTCTAAAAAATAGGAATGATGAAAAAAGGGGAATGAAAATAATAATTGTTCCAAAATCAAAATTTTTTGGATTGGAAGTGTGGAGATATAAAAATTCCTTTTTTATCCAATTATAATGGAAAATTTATAATAATATTTACATCATACACTATTATGGAGAAAAAAAAAATAGAATCTTTGAAGTCATTTGGTAAATTAAAATTGAGTTGAAAGTATAAATCTCCTATGTGATTCCGATTTTTCTATAAAAATATTTTATCAATATATACATATAATTCCGAATTTGATAAAAAAAAAGTTTGAAAAAAAATTTAGAAACCAAATTTTGTTAGTGAAAAAGAGTTGGAAATTCACGGAGTTCTGAATCCCTAATGAGGCAATTTTAGTACAATACAACCTCGATAAATTAACAACATCACTTAAATAACAATTTCTTTCAATCCCGACTCAGTAAAAATATACTAAGTTATTAGTTCGATAATCTAATATGTCGCTAAATTAATAGAATTTTACTAATCGCAACTATATTAATTTATAAAAATTTAAGTGTAATAGAATAATATAATATAAAATTTACAAAATGAGAGTGGTAGTGGTGGGGTGGGGGTATATCCATAGTGAATTAAGGGGAAGAAAAAAAATCCACGTCTCCAGTTCCAACAACACGTTGGTGATTGTTAGTTCCATTTAGTTGGCCTTTCCATTCCTTCCAAATTTCGCCAACCATCGCCGCCGCACCTCCAAACTCTCTCTCTCTCTAAAACTCCGCCCTTATTAATTCGAATACTAAAACCTTCTCTCTCCTCTCTCTCTCGCTCCTCTTTCTCTCTCTAAAACACTGAATACTAAAACCTTCTCTCTCTCTCTCTCCTCTTTCTCTCTCCTCTTTCTCTCTCTAAAACTGAAAATAATACTACTCATCATCATCATCAAATTTCAGAATGGTGGGAAAGAGCAGCTTTAGAGCAATAATGAGAAGATCAATCTTCACATTCCTCCAAAACTTCCACCGCTTCACCGCCGCACCATCCCTCCTCCTCCTCCCCTACGCCGCCGCAACCCTCCTCTCCCACCCCCTCCTCTCCTCCTCCTACATTTTCCCCATCATCCACGGCCGCTTCACCTCAATTTTCCTCGCCGCCGGCTTCCCGCCGTCGTCGCAGCTATTCTCCATTCTCAATCTCAAGCTCTCCCAAACCCTACTCTCCTCCATCTTCGTATCCCCCTTCACCCTCTCCTTCCTCCTCCTCTCCAAATCCTCTGTAATCACCTCCCTCCAGAAATTCAATTCAAATAATTATAGTAATAAAATAATCACAATCTTCAATCGGCTGTTCGTCACGCAAATCTGCAACTCGCTGGTGATTCTCTCCGCCAACGCCACCTGCTTCTCTCTCCTCGTCATCGCATTCAACGTTTCCGATCTCATTCTAGGGCTTTCTTCTCACCCCAGATTCGTCCTGCTGACGTCAGCAATTGGCGCCGTCGTCTACTCCGTGGTGCTCGCGAATGCGTGCGTTGTGTGCAATTTGTCCTTGATTTTATCTGGATTATTGGAGAAGAATAATAATAATAAGAAGAAGAAGAATTGCTGTGGGTTTAGCTCGATTGTGGATGCGTGTGTTGTTCTGATGAGGGGGGGCGGCGGGGGTGGGGTGGCGCTGTCGTTGGCGGTGGCGATGAATATGGGGATGGCGGCCATTGAAGCTCTGTTTCAGTACCGTGTTGTCAGAGCTTATTATTATTATTATCGAGGAGATGGTGGTGACGTGGCGGCGCTCGATTGGCCGGTGGTTTTGGAGGCGGTGGTGATTGCGTACATGTACGGCGTGGTGGTTGTTCTTGATACGATTGTTGGTTTTGTGTTCTTGGAGAGCTGCGAATTGGATCGTTGCAGAGTAATGGAAGTTTAGGAGAGAGAAGGAAAGTGTTTTGTAGTTTGTGCTGTAAATTTTCTGCAGATACACACAAACACACACACAGACACACACTAAAGTTGGTAAAAATGTGATGTTTATAATAGTGTTTTTTTCCGGGAAAATTACGGTTTTCACCCATTAAGTTTGCACCGATTTTATATTTGGTCTCCTATGTTCATAAAAAAATACATTTACTCCCTCATGTTTCAATAATTTAACATTTTCCGTCAATTTACCGTTATCCTGTCGGTTAAGTCATTAACGAAAAATTGACGAAAATGACTAAAAGTGTTGAATTTTTAAAACATGATGTATCAAATGTGATTTTTGTAAACATGAGGGACTAAATTTGAAATCGGTGCTAATTTGAGGGACTAAAACTGTATTTTTTTCCCTTTTTTTTTTCTTTGTGATCTTATTAATAGAATGAATGAGACAAAGTAGGATGATCATCACATCTTTTGGCTTCACTTGTGTTTTTCCAAGTTGGGATTTGTAGTGAAGAAAAAAACTTGTAGATTTTGTATGTAGAAGATTGTGATGATGATGGCAAATTATTTCTACTCTTTTAAAAGTGTTTTTTATGACGTTGTAATAAGTAGCATTATTTTCCCGGGATAACATTTCAAAAGTGAAAATTAGAAAAAGAAGAAAAAAAAAAAAAATTGCAAATATGACCCCCTAGAATTCGTGTTGACGGAAAAATAGAAGATAAAAACAAACAAAAAAAAACTATCGGTGTGAATTAGAATTCTTGATGGCTAATCCAATTTGCTATGAACATCATTAGAGAAAACTGATGGAAAATAGGATTTAAAAAAAAAAACAAAGATACAGAAACTTACAAGAAAAAAAAAAAGAAACAGAAGAAGAAGAAGAAACTATCAGAGTGGATTTCGATTTTGCTTGTGGATTTACAAATTTGATTTGAGTGGACTAAAATTTATGTGTTGGTATAATTTGATTTAAAATCACCAATATACCATTAGGATATGTTAGGATTGACCTAGCATTAATTACTTTTATACAATACTAGCTTTTTTTTTTCCCCGTGCGATGCACCGGATATTATTTCAGAAGTGAAAAAAAAAATCAATTTAATATAAAATAAGAAAATATAGTACATTAACATAGTAAAATTTAATAATATAGTATTACTCATAATTTATATAACATTAGTTTTTTTAAAGCTTACATATTAAGATTTATAATCCAAATATATAGGTTTAAATTTAACAAATCGAATTTCTATCTTTATATATTAAGATTTGAGATATATATTGATGAAAAATAGAAGATTGATAATTGTTGAAAATTAGTACTGAAAAAAATTAAAAATAAATAATTATAGAAATACCATTAGGGTTTTTTTAGGGTTATCCAGTGTTTCTTTCTTTTATATATAAGATTTTAAGAACCGGACCGGCTATAAAACCGAACGACCATTTGGGTCATGGTTTTATAGGGTCAAACCAGTTCAACCGAATTTTTGATTTTTTTCAATATGTCATTATTTTATTATTTTTAATATTTTAAAAATTCTATTTTGTTTATATTTTTAATCTCTCACTTATTATTTACCCTTTTATTTACCTCACCCTACTTTTTACTATATTTCTTTTGCTTATACTCTATATCGCCCATTCTTTATATTCCAAATCCGACAATCGGTCACCCTTATTCGATTACCCTTGACCATATCCGGTAATCCTTCGACCGCTCATGACTACATCCGGTCACCCACCACTAAGTATGTGAAAGTTCACTCAAATCTAGCTAAAAATAACCAACTCAGCGGTGGTTGGATGCGTTTTGGCCAAAAACTAGGTTCCTTGACTGACTCGCTGGTTTCTGGATTTTATCCGGTCGAACTGGATTTTGGTCATTCGACCCTGGTTTTCTATTTTTTCGGTTTTAGAGGTTAGACCGGACCATTTCATCTCCGGGTCACAATCGAACCGGTCCAACCGGCCGATTCGGTTCGGTTCTAACAACATTGCTTTTGTATATAAGATTAATGATTTCAGTTTAATAAAAAAAAAAAAAAACAAAGAATGACCCATCTACTAAGCATACATATTAGGGGTGAACAAGTCGAACCCATCAATCCGTTGAACTCGTTAATCTCGGTAAAAATCGTCCCGCTAGGACTGGACGTATGGATCCATCGATAGGATTGGGTTCTTAAATGGAGAAGATCTGCGGGTTTGGGTCTAAGACGGCTTCAAAAAAAATTAATAACCGTGAAACCCATCTCACCCCGCCATACAAACGACGTCGTTTTGTTTATATTATGTAGTATAATAAATTAATAATATATAATATATGAATAAAATATTTCTTACATGTCAAAATTTATATCTATAACGACGACCTCATCCCGTTTTGTCAATAATTATCTACTTTGTGTTAAATGTTGTCTTATAGAGCTTCGACTTTAGTTACTTTTTTTTAACGAATTTATGGTTAGAAGGCAATAATTTTGATTCACTCTTGAGTCTTGACACATATCATTGATGTTATTCACGTTTGTTTCAATTTAAGATTTTACTCATGGTTGTTCATTTTAATTTCTAAATAATTTTGCGTAAAACTTATAAATTATTACAAAAAAATAACATATTTAAATTATGATGGGTTTCGACCCGTGAAGGTTGGGTCCTGCTATAAACGCGCCATGGATCTGTCTATCCTAAACCCGCCGAAAATCAACAAGTTTGGTTTCTTAAAATCAAGAACCGTTGGTTGACGGGACAAGGGCAGATTTTGCTAGAACCCGCGGATTTATGACCCGTGCACATCCCTAATACATATCTTTTTTTTTGTTTTCTGGATGGAATAAGCAATTTTTGTCTCACATTCACCTTTAAGTAGAAAAGATTACGACCAACTTGTGTAGCACGGAAACTTCAACTTCTCAACATTTATGCGTTTCGAAAACGTTTCGTGTCCGGAACTCGAAGACACCTGCCGGGCTGCCGGACACCTTATGGGCCATTTTGCAATTTAAAAAAAAAAAAAAATAGAAACATGTTCGAATACCAAATTTTCAAATATTTTTGTTGTTTCTCAAATTATTTACATGATTTAATAATCAGTTGCAAATTAATAGTTGACAGTAAAATTTATTTTCAATATGTTTGCATATTATATAAAAAGAATTTATATATAAATAAAAACTTATATATGTTTATATAGAATATTTATAAATACACCCTATACTTCTAATATTTACATGTTTCCACTAAGTTCCCGTATCCCCATTTTCGGAAAATGCCGTTTCCCCGTTTCCGTGTCCGTGCTACATAAGCGACCAACACTCCTCGTACTTTCGCATTTGTAACATGATTTGAATTTTGAATAAGCCAAGAGAGGTAATCGGTCGTCTTCACATTTGCAAATGAAAACTTCACTTTGTTTCTTCTCGGATGAATCTTTACATTAACATGTTTGAAGGTTAGGAAAAGTTAGTAACCATCTTCAATATCTATAATACATGTTTGAGGGCCAAAACTTGTCAAGAAAAACAAATTTGTGATCATCTTACAAGTAAAGAATTCCAACTATTTCATCTATGGTGATATGTCTATGCTACAATCTGTGAGTTGCATACAGAGTTTATTATTGTTCGTCTTGGTTATTTCTATGCTACACTCGGTGCAGGTTACACCGAATGAATATTTACCGTTGATCTACACATACCAATGTGTGTGTGTGTGTGTGTGTGTTGTGTATTTATAAATAGTAAATAAACTTAACATTTACCAATACGGTAACGTTCTAGGGTTCGAGTCCCCCCTCCCCTACTTCCTCTTGTAATGGACTTGAATTTACTCAAAAAAAAAAAAAGTAAATAACTACGCGATGAATTTCATCCAGTGTAGCATAGTATAAACCTTCATCTACAAAGTGAAAGAATTGAGTACACTACTCTTTAGAGCCATTCTATCATTTTAGCCTTTTGCCCGCTTTAAACACAACAAAATTAGTTGCATACAAAATCGAGTTTTTGTAAATATTACATCTTTGTTGTTTTTGTTGATAAAAGCTAAGAACCGTATCTGAATGAACAGTACACTAGAGATTCGAGTATTCCCCCGAAAATCAAAAATTCTAAAACTAAAAATATATACCTCGACTACAACACTATCCACTAACACATCCTATTTCACTCTATCTACCCTCTATAATTCCTATTCTATACAATAAACAGCAGGAACGGTTACAAACTCAAACCCGACTATTACAAAGGAACCAAACCAATTTATATGCTAAAACAAAGAATTAGTGGTAATCTAAATACATGTTAGACTCTGTACAGATTGCCGTGGTACATTCTGGCGAAAAGATTTACAGTTTCAAGTGGTATTTCTTCACAATAATGAGCCAAACTCACCGGATTATTTTATCCTGCTTGCAATACTCTCTCCAGATATATATGACAGCACAATACACATATATCTCTGATAACTCATCTCCTCCGAAAAGCACTTCTCCAAATTGGCTTCTCTGCAGAGAACTTCTGGTTTTGTAAAGCTCGACAGAACCCCGTTTTCTGATAACGTATTGCCAAAATATTCAGCAAAAGGTGAAGGGCCTGTTTGGCTGGTCAATCCTGCAGTGTCTGTGAGGACCGGAGATATCTGCCTTTTGAGAATTATTCAATTCTCAGCTTCTTGAGCCTTTCTTTGGCGTACTCATTCCCTTTGCATTCTCCATTTCGGCCTCCTTTTGAGCTTTCTTCTTTTCTACTTCAGCTTGCTTGCAATTTTCTTCATGAGCTTTCTTGAACAACCTCACAAAGTTCAAGAGGGTCGCAGTAACTGCGTAAATGATAAGACACGGTATCAGTAATCTAAAAACGTCAAACATCCGTCCCTAGGAAGATAAACATATATTGTTAACCTTGCTCGAATGGGAATTTCGCAGGATCTTCACCAAAATATAGAGCCAGTGCATCTGCATTTCGTCCCTGTCAAAAAAGAAAACATTAATAAATAAATATATATATATATATATATATATATATATATATATATATATATATGAACACCATAATTTATTAAAGAGAATAATCTGATATTCCGACATAATCTATGATATTGTTCAGGCAGATAGTTACCGCATCGGAATATAGACTTGTTACAGCGGACACTTCATTCTCAGCAATACCGATAAATTCCTTCAATGTCTGTCATATACGGCAAGTTTATCGTGTTAAGAAAAGTGTAGAAATGCTTTCCAATCATTTGTGTAGGTAATTATAAGAGATTAAAAGATTCTCTCTACAAGGAAACTTCAAAAAATATGAATCATCAAAGAGGACACAGTTTAAGGATACAATGGCACGTTTAGACAAACAAACAATACATACAAGCAAGAAATTGCGGAGTAAAAAACATTTTATGCCAGAATACCTTGCGAAACGTTTCAGATACAGGCCCGTCCTTGTCCGATGCGTCAAATTCCTGTTTCACCTTCTCGAAACCTTTGATAATGGCTTGCATTTCTTCTGCCAAAGATTTCAGTTGTATCTACAAAATCACACGATTTTCATGAAGTTATTTACACTAGAAAATTATTCACCTAGAAGAAAACAAATACGAACCTTCGAGGCAGCTTCCAAGCTAACAAGATGTTGATGAAAGTTTAAAAGAGCTGGTTTATGTGAGGCAAGCACCTGAGAAACAAAGAGGACAAACTCACACACAGTGCCAGATTTACAGAATAATCCCTTTATATATGTTACGATAGCAGCACCTTCATGTAAGTAGCCACATACTGAATAGAAAAGCCAAAAGATAAAGTATATTATAAACAGATTATATTATTGAATGTGCGTACTTTGTGTATCATATAGAGATGGGAAACGAGTCCTAACATGGAAACAATTCAAAAAAAGGTAGACAAATTTTATAACCTAAGATAGACATGAACTACTAAACAGACACATATAAGTAACCTCAAATAGACTCCTAAATATGTTCGAACAAGTCTGATTGAATTACCATAGATTTTGCACTTAGAGACTGCCTTTGAACTACAGGTATTCTATATACACACACACACACACACACACACACACACACACATATATATATATATATATATATATATATATATATATATATATATATATATATATATATATATATATATATATATATATAGAGAGAGAGAGAGAGAGAGAGAGAGAGAGAGAGAGAGAGAAAGAGAGAGCACATAAAAATAAGACCCAAAAACATTAAAAAAAAAAGGGTAAATACCTGACAAAGATAATGCAAGAGTGTCATCTTGCTATTGGATGCACGTGTATCAGAGAGTTTCAAAAGACTATCTAATTTGAATCCAAGAGCAGCACCTGGATTTATAGAAAGTAAAATATTCAATTTCAGTGCTTTCGACCCGAGCACAATTAAGCTGTAAAATTTTTAATTTACGCATGGAAGACTATATCCTAGTGCTTTCCAACTGATTCCTGCAAAATCTATTATGTTTTAAAGGAAGGTAGATGCTAAATATAACAAATGGTAGTGAAGAGATGCAAGCCACAATGAACCTCAACAGAACATAAATGAACATGTATTTAGTCGCATTGAAAGGTTTGTGCCAAAAGAATTCTACTATATATGCATTCACTGCTACAAGCATGCAAAATGAACATCCATACATTTAGGCCTCGTTTTGTTGGGGAGACTAGTCATGATTAACTAAATAATTGGACTTTGTTTGATGTTTGGTGTACCCAAATAACTTCCCGGGTGAACCCGGAAATATTAGGGAGTTTTTTAATTGAACTTTCCATGGTCCCACTAATACAATTTGGGCTCATTGAATTATTTAATCTTATCTTGGCTAATCTTATCTCGCCGATCAAACGAGGCCTTACTAGATTCATTTATCACAACACCATAAAGTTAATTATGCTGTTCTAGACCCGAAAATTATAACTTCATCAATTCTGATAAAAAAAAGGTTCATACCTCTGGCAGTTCCTTGATTCAATGTATTTCCAAGATATAAAATATTCTTCATGATTTCTTTCAGTTCGAAAGATTTTCGGACCTGATAAATAAGTACATGTAAAGTTACTAAACAATAACAATAACAATATATCAATATTTAGTAGAATTGTTTTTTATTCTGTAGATTTTTCGTGATACCTCGTCACAAGCAGAAATTACAGTGTTCAAGCTCGTTTTGAAATCTGAAACCTGATATAAAAAGCCATTTTAAGATAACTGAAAGATCATAGTAATTTTCAGAAGTTCATTAATATCAAGCAAACCTGAGAAATGAATTGGATCTTAAATAAGAAAACCCTTAATTTAGATTCGACTCGTGGCACCTTCATCAGCTCCATGAAAAACTGAAAGATGGGAGTAAAACGTCCAACAATGTACCCGTTTAGCATCATACAACATCAGTGATAGTATGGTTATTTAAAGGGGAAACTGAAATTAATTGGAAAGAACGAATACTAAAGAACCCAGAAGGCAAAACCATGAAATATATAGCTTCTTTTTTTATGTAAAAAATAAAAACAATTGTCAGACTACTATCACCATAACAACATATATGGAGCTTCTTTTTTCTTTTTTCCCAAAATCAGCAAGGCAAACCATGATTAAATATGTTAACTCGTGCCTATTTCAGAACTGCCAATTAAAAAGTAAAAAATAATTTCGTACAACCGATGACAAACTTGAAAATTCTGTTTAATAGCATTGATCCTCTATAAGAAACTTGAAAGTATGTTTCCTGAAAATATTAGGTGGACAGATGTATGTACAGTTGTACACATCACGTAATATTTGAGTTGACTGAAAATTTCTTTGCAAGATATTCTACAAATATCCAATCTTAGTGAAGGCATTGGCTCCATATCTGAAACAATCAACTAAACTAAATTGATCGCGGACAAGGATCTGGAAAATCAATTCATAACTGTTAAAACTCCTTTTTACCTCAACATGCTTTTATGCTGTAGCCTTTCCAAATTTAGAATGGGGCATTGTTTTTTCTTCTTTTTCTTTTTTTTTTTTTATGAAGAATGGGGCAATTTCATATACAAGAAGTAACCTTTTCTATTTATCATCATATGGTGGTGAAGCTACACACAGTTGTACGACGTAATTCTCATTCCCTTCTGAGAATTTGGACAAACGATAAGGCAAATTCCTTCCTCACAGAAAAAGAAATGCACCTACCACAGTACAGAAGCATTTCACCTAAGGAGATCTAAATCTCATAACAGTCGGAACAATTGCAGTTTACTTTCAAATGTTTAACTACATTTCACTAGACCACAGAAAGAAACAAGTGTTCATAACAAATGGTGGCAACTATATGTCTATATCTCTTTCTATATAAATCAAATCTAGCTTTACTTCTACACAACCATCTCTTAGATTGGTTTGTACTTAGTCAACATTACAAGATTCTGTTAGCAAATGAGGTGGAGTTCATTCACATATCACACATACAAACATCATAGCATGATAGAGTCAATTAGATCCAGTTCACTGACCTGTTCACACTTCCCCAAATTCTCCTTGTCACCCGTGTAGGCCTAAAAGTTACATCGCTATATTCCATTAAAAGAAAGTAATTGGCTACATGAATTAGTGGAAAATACAGTAAAAGTTATAAGTCTTTACCTTAAGAAGCTCCATCTCTTCCTTAGTTGGACAAAATTTAATGAGATTTTCTACTTGATCAGCATCCAGTATTGATTCATCCATTGCAAGTGCTGCAGCCTGTCAAGTGAACCATCTACGTAGTTAAAAATATATATATAATTCATCATGCAAATGCACGGTTAGGATATTAAGTGAATACAAGGAATTTATTTCATTTCCTTTCACACTACTCAAATATGAATAAAAATCTGAGAAAAGATTAGTACTTTAATAATAGATCTGCAGAGATTTGCAGATTATGACTTTCCAGGCCGGACTTAGAGCCATTTGGTTTCCAACTATTGATTAACATAAAACTAAATTCTGTCATAGTTTTATTATATTTACGCATCTATGACTTGTTATGAAAAAAAGAATGTCAAGCAAAAACAATTTCATAAAATATGTTGCATATTTACCATTTTACATCAAAACAATCTTTTACTGGCTGCTACAAAAGCTCGATAATCAATAACATAAGTCTGACATTTGAGAGACATTTTATTTTCAGCTCTATCTAGTGCCTTCCTGAACTTAATGTTCTATCACCATTTATTTGCTCTCATAATTCTTCATTGTTGCTTTTAAATGCTAATTGTTTGGTTTGTCTGGGAATTTTCAGATAAGTGATGAATGCATATTCTTCATTTATGTCCACATGCATAGATGTCAATCTTAAACAGCAGATGCAATTAAGAATTAAAATACACAATTTCAGAAAGAAAATAATAAAACTAAAGCAAAACAAAGGCATTAGACTATTTTTTAGAAATAACTGCATCATTAATTATCTTGGAAGCTGCATCAAACATATTAAAAGATTTTAGAAACAAAATTTTACATGTAAAGATAAAGAGTAAATGCTCAAAAGGGAACATGCACCGTCTTTAGCTTACCATCATGTCAGGAAGTGGCATTTTCACCTTTGTGAGCATAATTTCAGTGTTATTAGCTCTCCTTAGGTCAACCTACAAGAGAAAAAAAAAACAAAAAACAAAAAAAAAACGAGTGCGATTGAGGAACTGGATGTTAAAATGCAAAGCTAATTCTCTCAAATCCTGCAGTTGGACCACCCCAGCAGTTCCCAAAAGACACGACCCAAAACAAGAAAAATGGGAAACTAAAAGGTAAATTCTAGAAAGATTCTCTAGAAAATAAAGATTTGAGAATCTTGTCCGAGTTGACTATCATGTAGAAAGCATCATCTAGTCTATGGCACTTGTTTAATAGGAGATAAATAGTCTTCTAATGCTGAACTTAGTCTACACTTACATTCTAGTACCACATATGGGCATTAAGAGTAGGGTTTCCGTGATATATCAACGTCCAAACACTTCTAATGACCTTGCATATCTCACAACCAAAGAATAGAGACTCAACGCAGAGATGCCAAATTAAAAAGATGAAAAAGGGTGGACTTTAGCTGTTGAAAATGTTACTCATAAAAAATGTACAAGAAGCACCAAAGATGTGATGGGTATAACATAAGTTTGCTATCCTGAGAAAAAAACTGATTTCACATGTTCTCCTTCTAGAGTGTCTACAATAGATAACCTTTATAACCCAGATAACAGTATTGTGCTTCATTTTCTTCAGCATCTTACTAGTCGCTGGTTTCCCCAAAAATCATTATGTAGCAGATATTATAGATGGTATGTTTAAGATCTCATGCTATACGAGACTCATATCAACTACCTTAATCAGATAAATCATTATAATTCCAAAAGCATATGCAAATATTTAGATTTCTCATTCCCAGTTGTCTCAAACAAATTACTGGATTCGTAAAACATTACCAGATGGATTTTTTCAGGCTTAGATCCAGTAGAGTTTCGGCGTCCTCCAGATTTTCCACCTGCAGTATCTGACTTTGGTACTATAGCAGAGAAAAGAGTCTCAAGCTCCGATACATCAAATTCTGGTGACCTAGAGTCAGAGGGCAACATATTAGTTACCTGAAAATATAAAGAAACAATAAAAAGAGAAGAAATGGAAAACCAGAAATTCGTGGACGGCCTTTCTTGCAATATCGTTAATTGATTTTAACATTTATGAAATGAAAGAGAATGTCATTAGCTTCTTATTTCCATTTTCAAGGAAGAACATAGAAAATCCAAGTAAATTACTGAAGTAGAAACACAAACAGGCGGCGAATTTAAACGAGAGAATTAAATAATTCGAGAAAGAGAAATACACTTGCGCTTCCCCATATCTCTGCAATTCTTCCCACAAGCTTCCTTGTATTACTCTGGTCACCTTGCTCCAATGAAGGGGCTTCATGGTAGATCTTCGAGGTGCTGCAGCAGTTGACATCCCAGGACGTGAAAGCCCACGTCCTCTACCAGAGAGCAAGCCTCTGCCATCTGCTCCAGGTCCTTTCGCACCCAATGGAGGAGGTGGAGGTGGTCCACCTCCCGGAGGTCTAGGAGGTCCCGGAGGTGGAGGTGGGCCAGGTGCACGGCCTCCAGGAGGAGGTGGTGGAGGTGGTGCACCTCCAGGAGGTCTAGGAGGTTCTGGAGGTGCAGGTGGGCCAGGTATACGACTTCCAGGAGGAGGTGGTGGAGGTGGTGCTCCTCTTATAGGTGGAGGTGGTGGAGGGCCACCAACTGAAGGTGGGGGAGGAGGTGCTGGGGGGCCACGCATGGGAGGCGGTGGAGGTGGTGGAGCTCCACGAAAGGGAGGAGGTGGAGGGGCTGGAGGAAGTGCACCAAAAGAAGGAGGAGGGGGTGGTGGAGGTGGACCACGAGGCGGGGCTGGAGGAAGTGCACCAAAAGAAGGAGGTGGCGGTGGTGGTGGAGGTGGACCACGAGGTGGGGCTTGAGGAAGTGCACCAAAAGAAGGAGGTGGCGGTGGTGGTGGAGGTGGACCACGAGCAGGGGGGGCTTGAGGAATTGCACCAAAAGAAGGAGGTGGCGGTGGTGGAGGTGGACCACGAGGAGGAGGAGGTGGGGGAGGGGGAGGAGCTGATGGAGTTCTAGAGTTTTGCGGAGGAAAAGAAGAAACTCCATAAATGGGAGGTGGAGGAGGAGCAGGTGGTCCACCATGCGAGGGAGGTGGTGGGGGAGGAGGAGGTTGTGAAGGGCTATGCGAATGAAAAAAAGAATCCCCATGTGCAGAAGGTGGAGGTGGTGGCGGTGGTGGAGGTGGAGGGGGTTTTCCCATGCTGGGAGAGGGTAAAGAAGATGCATGAGTAAGGGGTGGAAGTGGAATAGGAAAAGAACTTGCAGGTGCAAGCATAGAACTCACTGCTGACCAGGGTGGGGGTGGAGGTGGAGGAATGGTTTTCTGCACAGTTGGTCTCGCTCAAGTAGCCACATCCAGTAGCGTCCTACA